CATGCTCTGTTTTACAATATGGGCATGTAATCACTGGACCGTATCACTGTAGGGTCTTTGACTCCTATAACTCTTGTAAGAATTCCTTTGTGATTCGTACTGGTACTGTCTGTTTCTTAACTGAGGTTGCACAGCCGCCCCATAATTTATTTCTGTGCCTTTTCCAAAGCTAAAAACATTTTTATGAGCATTAAAGTAAGCTTTTCCAGATATTTCTATCTCTTCGACAGTGGATGGTCTTTGTTCGATCAGGAATGTCATCATGCTGGTTGGTACACTGCATAAGACTTTATCCCTAATTAGAAGGTCTTTCAATAAGTCAAATGATTTTCCAATTTTAGCGGAGCTTATACACTTATCAAAAGTGGTCTCAACTTCAGATAGTAATCAATGAAATTCTGCTCAGGTTTTGGTGACATGTTTCTGAAAGCATTTCTATAAGATTCTTCATCTAAAGAAAAGTGTAATATTCTATCTTTAACAAAGTCATAGTCATCCAATTTCTCAACCGGGATGGTTTCTAAAACTTTCAGTGGTTCACCCCCTAGATGCTTTCTATACATGAGTGACCATTCTGTACGTGGGACATCATAATGTTTAATCATGTACTCAAAGTTTTGAGTCCAGGCAGAAATTGAATCACCTTGAGTGAAAAATTTAATAAGACCTTGATATTTCTTAAAGGATGGTTCTGCTGCCTTCAATTCAGCCTTTCTAATCTGTATTTCGACATTTCTGTCGGCTTCCATTTCTTTGACCCTCAATTCCACAGTGAGCTTCTCTTTCTGTAGTTCAGCTTTACTACTTATTTCTTTGTCCTTCAAAACTATGGCGTGTTGTAATTCTTTTTCCTTAATAAGTAATTTGACTCGGTCCCTTTCGGCTAGAGCTGCTAACTCTTGCTGTTTGGTCATCGCTTCAATCTCTTTGACTTTAGCCTGCACCTCTAATTCTAGCTTTCTTAATTGTCTCTCGTCTGCACGATCCTGCCTTTCTTGTTGATCCTTTCTTAGTTCTCTCTCGTCTGCGTATTTCTTGTCAACCCATTCAAGAGCTTTGTCACCTGTCAACCCATTCTGTCTGGCCAGCTCAATGAAATCAGCTAGACTTGACATCTTGCAATGTTATGAGTGTTACCACAAAACAGTGAACTTTCTTTCAAAATAATAAATAACATGCGCACTACAACAATAAAGAAGAAAAAGAAATTACAATAACAAGAATGTATAATAATATATAATAATAATACAATTTAAATTTCCAAATGGTATAATGGCATTTTGGAAAAACAATTTGGATTGTATTGACAGTCAATGTTGGACAAGGTTTCCGAAATTTACTCCTTAACAATATTTTACAAATGAAATGATGACGTATGTACCCAAAAAATCTATAATTTGTATTATACAGATAATATAACATCAGTGGTTTCACAATATGTAACAAAATCACAAACAAAAACACTTATGAGAGATGGGTTTTAATCTAACTCTAACGCTACTCAACGAACTATAATGAACTACTATGTAAACACTTACAGACAAGAAAGCACAACGATAAATTAACAAGACAATTCACTAACAAAACGCCACTAGCTTGTACTTCGATGATCGACCCGAGATCAAAACAAGTTGAAATCGAGCCAAGGATCTTGACACCGCTTAATGTAAAAGTACGTTATCCTAGCACTTAACAGACCTATGGATAACTAACTTCTAGCCCAGCCAACCTCCCACACAAATATTATCAATGATGAAACAGGATAGACTAGAATGATAGATAATGTACGGCACCGCTGTTCCAAAGACGACCTTGTGGAACACCACGGGCAAGAGAACGAGACCACAGCACAACACCACAATCAAGACACAACTTATCTGTTCTCCAGCCTGGGATCCATGATGCCGCTTGAAACAGTAAGATGAACAGTATTCACAATTGATGATACTGAGGACGAAGGGCCTCAGTTGGAGCTTGTAGGTTCTTCACTCATTCACTCAGCACGTGGCACACTAAAAATAATACATATGCTGCTTGCACACTATGTCTTTGTCATTAATCCTACTCGTCAAGACGCCACATGTTCCTAACACAATCAGTTATTAATTCTAGGGACATTCAGTTGATACAACAACAACGCAATGTAACACACGATCACAAACTAGCCTCTATAATTATACATGTTAACTCTCGATCTAATTATCTACTATTAAGAAATTATTTCGATCATGTTGTCACTAATTAAGGGAGCCACCCCAAGGACGTCATCATACATTAAGAAATCAATTCAATAGCTAAATCTAATTTTTAAGAGAACGATAACCTATATAACCTAGCGTTGACTTTGCGAAGAGACAACTATAAATGCAACAAGTCACACAACAGCTAATAATGTAAATAAATTGTCACTATCTATTATATGTCAGTATCCCAGATTCAACTCCTAAGGACGATAGCACCCATTATCTGTCAGCAACCTACTTTACTAATGTATTTTCTATGGCTCGCTAGGTAGGCCAGCTAACAGACTTCACTACCCTACGACACACTTAAGACACGCACCTGCTGACTACAAATATAATCTTTAATGTACAACGAACAATACAGCTAGTAACACCTCAACCTAGTTGGCATTCCTTATCCTGAACGCCGGCGTTGAGCAGCTTTTACATTCACTGGTCAACCCGAACCGTTCCCATGGATCCCCAAGGACACGATTCCAAACTAACAGTTTATCAGTGCTGACTAAGCCGTCGTCTATTGCCACGCGGGACTCAGTGACACACATAAGGTGTATGGTCTAAGTGTAACTGGGCAGTGTTACCGCCATTAACAATGCGTGTCACACATTCACTAGCTGCTCAACAAATACTGCGTGGAACGTCTACTATTCAAGGAACAATAACTCTACGCTATCTCATCGAAACATTAAATGGAAACACAGCCTATCTCAAAAATACTAACCACAAACACTTATTCAATCTAACCGTCACTAAACTACATTAACCAAGTCAAAGCGCTATGTCTTGTCCAGTCCAATGTCTACCACACAACTCTCCCCAGCGAGCTCTGTCCAAGCTTTTTTGTTCCCCTTCCGCGTTCATCTCTCGACACGCGGTAATACAAGTTAACCGTGGGACCTGGCTTGAGCCAGTTAACTCGACCCAGTTTATTCCGTGGTCAAGCTGCCCGGTCTCACACTGAATTTTACTGAGGGTCAGCTTGTTCATATGTGATGATTCACTATCATCATATCTGATCATCCCGTAGCCGAACTGGCCTCTGACAATTGCACTAGGACCAGATTGGGTCAGGTATGACCATACGAAGGAAATGAGTGATGAGAACCTGAAGGATATGGCTTTTTCTATCAATCAGAGCATAAGAACTGCTTTAGTACCCTTCAAGTGGGAGCACAGCTATTTAGCCCCACTCCCAAAACCAGGCGCTGCAGGGCAGGGCAGGGCAGGGCAGGGCAACTATTAACTCTGTGTCACGTTCTTGAATGACTAACGGCGATTATTAAGTCTGTTTCAAGTTCTAAAATGACTCATGGCAACTAATAATTCTATTTCATGTTCTGGAATGAATCATGGTAAATGTAGGCACTTTTCAGGTGACAGTATTATACTGTACTACAATGAAGCATGGAACTCACAGCCCATGCTGATGGTGTGTGTGACTAGCATGACACACTTGTATTAAGAAATGTCTTCCAAAACAGAGCAGGGAATTTCAGTCATTGTTGCTATAGCACATACTTATTATACTTCTCATATGCCTCACCCTCGACCTATCTGCAGTGACCTTCTCTTTTATCTTTATTCTCTTTATAATTTCACTCCCTTCATCTTCTACTCATCTATAATTCCCAATAGACCAACCTAGAAGGGTCCTTAGGGACTCTATATTCTCCTAGCTATCTGAGCCTATGAAGGCTGAACATTCAGAAAACTGTTGTGCCCTTGGCAACAATTATTAACTCTGTTTCATACTCTAGAGCAGTGTTCCTCAACTATTTGGTGCCCGCAGAAACAGGGGAAATTATTTCGCGGCCCACCTGACAGTAATAAGACACAGAAACAAAGGGGACATGCACGGTGCCACACTTGCTTTAGCCACTACTTGAATTATTGTCCTTATTTGTAGCCCAGTTGTATCTACAGGTTATGTAATTTTTGGGTGCCCTAATATAACTGTTTTATGCGGTTGATTGGGGTTTCCAGGATTTGAACATGTTTCATCCCCCCCCCCCCCCCCCCTCCCCGATATGATAAATTCTATAGACAGCAATTTTGAAAGAGGAACTTTTCTGTGGCTCACCAATTGAAGAACACTGTTCTACAGCATAGATTCCCTAACCTTTTCCCCCTACCAACCCCTTTTTATTGAGAAAAAAAAAATCACTCAGCCCTCTCCCCTGAAATATCTAACTACCCAAATGTACCTGCGACTACTACTGCCGCCAGATTTCACAGGCAGTTACAACCCCTTCTGACTGCTCCAGCAAAGGACAGTATGCCCATTTTTGGAACCTATGTTCTAGTTACTTGTAATCCCTCGTCCGTATCAACAGCCTAGCACATTGGTCCAAACCATTCGTGCTCCACCCTCTGATGCATTAGCCATCTTACAGTTGCCATGCTGAACATACTCTGGAGGAGCTGACTGGCATTTCTTCTAACTCTACCCAAGAACCAGTTTTGACAAGCTAGTCCTCGTTTAATGCCCATTACCAATAGGTCGTTCCTTGTCTCCAACTCCTTTGTAGCAAAATCTCTAGAATGCAGTGTATGTCTTGACCAATGAACCACTGCAGACATGGCCAATCTGTCGGCTCTTTCATTTCCTTGCACCTCGGCCTTTCCTGGTATTATAGCCAAGATAGTTTCTTGAGGCAGAACTTTTGGATGCTGTTTAGTTGCTCACTGCCACTATTAATAATGAATGCATACCTTACACTAATAAGCTAAATGGTTCACTTGACAACATTTCCTTACCACATCCCATTTCATCCTCCCAGTCTCCACAATCATTTTCCTCATCACAAAGAAACTCCCGCCGGACACACTTGAAGGTTCGACTACAGTGGAACTCATCTTTGGTACACAGAGTCTGTCTGTGACCTGTCAGTGATGGAAATGTTCTGTCAGTTACACTTGGCGATATCTCTAGCCAGTCAGTCAGATCTAGGTTAGCCCATGCCTACACAGAGGCTGTCTATGACTACCTTTCTGTGACTTGTCTATGACCTGTTAAGGGGGGAGTTCTAGCAGGGAATCTTGAAAAAATGTGATTTTTGAATTTCGAAACAAACTTGGTATCAAATTAAAGTTTAATCAATATCCTATACGTTTCTGTATACATTTTTAAAATCTGATGAGTAATATCCGATTTATGATGGCTGAAAGACGGTCAGGTCTTGGAAGACAAAAAAAATCAGAAATTCATGTTTTCACACATACACATATATTTAGTGACATTGCGAGCCTCCCTAACAGTTTTCTTACAATCAACGATCCTTGTACGGAACAATCAAAATGGTTGCCTTCGTAGAAGCGTGTTTACATTTTGTTTGTTCTTGAATCATTTGTACAAGTAATCTTCTAAACAATGTCAAGTGATAAAAAGTATTGTAAACATTCAAGGAAGCAAAAGTTTCACTGGAATAGATTTATGAGTGCTAGAAAGAGATGCAGAGAATTAGTTTTAAATCATACTATTGAGAACGACAAACATGTAAACATTGACATTCCTACAAGTAATTTGTGGATATGTTAATTGTAATGTAGTAGTAATAATAATAGTGGAACCAGTACCAAAGCTGCCACATTCACAGTGCCACGCCCACTCACAGTGCTACGCCCACTCACAGTCGGTCATCGATAAAAATCAACGATCTGTATGGCATTGATGATGATCCAGACACAGATTTAGAAGAATGAGATGGGGCAAACACTTATCCTAAGTGTGACAGTGAAGGGTACAGGATTGTTGACCTGAATATTCTATGTCACCAGATTTCATCACAGCTGGTTTTTGCATTTTGTTACAACCAAGTCAGACTTACTGAGAATGAAAGACAAGGACGTGGTAGTCAATTTGAATTTGTGTGCAGCAACCAAAATTGTAAAAGACAGACCATTTTTCATTCCAACTGTCAAATAAGAGTCAACTACAGCAACAGTTTACAAGTACACTCAGTCAACAAGCAAGCTGTTTTTTCTATGTGCTGTGCAGGAAGTGACTGTTCGGACTTGCAACATTTTGTGGAATAATGAATCTTCTGCTGCCTGTCCACAAGTGCACACATAAACTAATAAATGATAGGATATAAAGTGCTTGTAGATGGTGACACAGCTTCAAAACAGTTTCTGATTCAAAGCCATACGGTGACGCACCTGTTGTGAAGATAGGATGTGTCGGGAAAGTGCAAAAAAAGAATGGGTATCCGACTACACAATATAAGGAATATTTGGGGGAAGGGAAAGAAACTGTCAGATGGGAAGAATATTGGTGGAAAGGGAAGGCTTACAGGCACACAGAGTGACTCTATTCAGAAATATTATGGGAATGCAATCAGAAGTAATAAGAAGGACTTGAAAGGAATGCGAGTAGCTGTTTGGGCGAAATACTTTCACAAACGCTAACGAATTAATCAACAGCACAGTTTGGCGACATTGCCCCAAACACAACAAGTACCATGGATTAGTAGAAGTTAAGATTGCAGTTGGTATTGCAGTACTTATTTTCAATGATGGAGCAAAAGCCCTAGAAGTACCCCTTGTGGCAATGCAACTATTATGTGGACGTTTCACACCAGAATTTTTCATCTGTACTGACACATTACGGCTGAAAAACTCTCAGAAGAAACCAACAGAAGCATTATTGGAAGCGAGAAGTGCAAGGAGGAGGAAGCGACTTGGATTAGATGATGTATGAGATAAATCCAAAGGCTTTCCTTATTTGACAGGGAGTCACTGAGGTAAAAATTTAGAATATTTAAAAAAAAAAATTTTACGTCGTTTGTTGTAAAATTTAACTTTTTTTTTCTCACTTATCCTGGTATAACTTTCTAAGATATTAACTAATCTGCATGAAATTTTGCATCCTTGCTCACATTATAACTGGCTATGGGACAGACTATGAAAATTCCAATATCATGAATGTGTTCATTTGTATATAATTTCAAAATTGTAATTTTTAACACACAAAAAGAGTAAAATTTTGGGTAGCTTTACATTAAATCTATTAAATGTGTACTGTTTTCCATAGTCCGAGCTATACTCACACCATTTTTGTATGTGCATTTTAATTTTGAAGTAATTTGGCTGCACCATTTTCCTAAAAATATTTCCAAAGTAACATCTTTATTTTGCATATTTCAAAAATAAATTTTTCACTTTAAAAAATTGTTATCTCACATGTATATATTGAATCCTAAAGATGTTTATTTTATATGATAGCTTGATCATATGGTCATAATGTCTGAAAATGTAAGAGTTCTATCTTTGAAATTGAATTTTTTATGATTTTTTTTCTAACACCACTGATTTCCTGCTAGAACTGCTTAGTCTACATCAGCAGAGGTTGTAATGATGCTTTGATGGAAAATGCAGTGTGAGATACTACACACTGAGAAGAGGTCAGAGGTTTCACTGTCACATTCATGGAAGATAAAGCAGTAGATCAAGATTTTCTCACTGGCTTTAGCTGCAGCCATATTAACAACAAACTCAGAAGTGAATAATTCCTCCCCACATGAAGTGTGACACTGTCAAAGCAGTGAAGTGTCAGTAGATATCTAATTTACAATACAGCGGTCTCTGAGAGGCATCGTCTTTTAAGATCCAAATTTCAAGTTTCATAAACCTAACACAGTATTGATATGTGACAGAAAACACCACAATACAACTCAAAGACAATTTACACAGTCACTCAAATTATATAAATATTCAGAAGACAGCTTATCAATCAACAACTTGGAAATGATTTTGACACTGTGAGAAGTTAAAATTTAAGGAGACTGCGATACTTGTCATTACAAACTTGAGTGTCATTTTGAAGGACTCTGTCCTAACAGTTTTGATACCACTGATGGTTGTCTCTTTCTGCTATATTCCACGCTCTCAATTGTTTCAAATACACAGGTAACCATGAAGTGGATTAAATCACTTCCTATTACTTAGTTCAGAGCCAAAGTGACAGAACAGGGATCAGCTGGCCTCAAAGACATAGAACTGCCATACTCAGACAAGAACGTTAACCTGCTCCAACAAGCCGAAGTAGATCACAGACAGCATGACCATTGACATTAATTGGTATCTTTCATAATATACAGACATAGCAACCCTGTGGTAAGTTCAGCTGATCATCTCTGTTCGGTCAGCAGAGGTCGTAATGTCGCTCTGATGGAAAATGCAAGGCAAGATACTACACACAGAGAAGTGAAATGATGTGTTATTATCAGTTTCACAGAAGATAAAGCAGTGGGTGGCAACAGAGGTCAAGACTGTCTCACTGGCTTGAGCTACGGTCATAACAACAACAAACTTACAGTGGGTCGAGGGTCATGGAGACTCAGGGCTATAGAGGCTTGGATTCTCGGGCAGTGGAGTACACCATCTGTTCCCCGTTGTGAGTCTCTGAATCTAGCCTTACAGGTGAAAAGGGCGCACTCAGGAGGTAAGTCCTCTGATCTGGCAAACCATTTTAAAAGGTGACCTCTTTAACCAAGACCTTGCAGTCATAGGACAAAACACAATAGATCTAGAGGAGACAACCTGTATTTAAAAAAAAACCCACCTAAAGTAGATCTATGTGATGAGAGGCTGAATGGCTGTGGGATAGTCAGTCGTGAACGTGGACGTCTGGTCAGGGAAAGAAGCGGTGCCAGGCGTGTGGACTCCATAAGGACATCCATTGCCTCTTCCCTAGCAGGCAGGCTCTACTAGGGTGACCGGCTACTTCCTGCTTCATAATAATTGTATCATTTGGATTTTTCATTTCATAAGAATTGTCGCTGGTGCTACAGAGCATGTGCTCTGCACCTGAAGTCATCTTCAGCGAGCAGCAATGAGAGAGTGCAGAGGTGAAAATGAGGAAATGGTGAGAGAAGAAAGCAGAGAGATAGAAGGGCAGGAGCCAGAATTTTGGCGAAAATCAGAGCGGCTTGGGTTCAACCATTTAAGAGTGTGCTTTTGAAATTTGTGCAGTGCCAGACAGAGAGGGCCCATATTAGAGAGGATGATACACGATTTTGATGTAATCATGCTTAAGTAGCTCACTGCAGACAAATACCATTGCCCTGGATATGTCAGCTATGTATACCCTGCTGGACATGGGAGACACGGGCAATGTCTGCTAGTGAAGGAGTGACTTAAACATGTGGTGCTTGACCTGATTGAGTGGAATCATGATGTCTTTGAGGTGCAGGGAATACAGATGGAGATTGGTGGCCTAAGCTGGAAAATAATAAATATATATGCATTAGTCACAAAGCAACAATAAGAGTGGCTGAAAGACCTAGAAGAGATCCAGGGCAACAAGTTCCTCATTTGTGAGGATTTCAATTCAGAGAGAGTATCTGTGTGATACTTATTTAACATGGGTTTTTTCGCCAAACAAGAGGTCAAAGTCTAAGGAATACAACTTTTGTAACAGAGATTTCCCCACAAAAACACTACAGCACGGTAATAACAGCCAGCACAGTCATCAGCGACAGTGAACATGCTAAGGTCAACACACTAACAGCCAGTACGGGCAGCTGCAATAATTCACTCGTCAAGTTCAATGGGCTTACCACAAGGCGGTACATCAAATTAGAACACATCACACACAAAAAAATGCACAAGATTAACTTTGGGGTCCAGTCAGCACAGAATTAGTAGTAGTCCTTTACTACTAAGAAAGTGTATTGTAAAGTATTTGGATAAAAGTGAACTGAAAAATTTTGATTGTGGTAGAAGTTAATGAATGAATTAATATTGATGTTGGTGGTAAGACTTTTGTTAAAATACCCAGAAAATAGGTGACAAATAGACACAAGTTTTTAAGTAAACTGGAATATTATTACTGTAGAATAGTAAACAGTAGACAGCACCAGCCTTATACGTTCTAAGCAATTGTTTGTGCTTCACATTGACATGAACTAATAGTTCTGATTTGAGTGTCACTGACAGAAATAGTTAGTTAAAATACAACACAAGTGCCAAGTGCCGGGTAACATCACAGTCTGGCGATCACATTGGGCCGCATAGCTTCACAGCCAAGCAGACTAAAATGCGGTGCCGTGCTGAACCGTGCAGTAACAGTACCATAGGACAGCATTAGACCTGAACCTACAACAGAGAGGCAAGGAAAACAGCAGCAAAGCAAGGGAAAAGAAATTTATTAATACACTGTATTGTTTACATGCTTTCTTCTTTTTCATTTCAGGTTCTTTGGATGTGATGATATTTTAATAAAGTATTATTCTATTTAAATAAAATAGATCATTTTTGTCTGAATACTATTAAATTTAATTATATTGGTTGATCAGTACTTAAGAAAGAGAATAGGGGCTTTTGAGCTGAAATGCTATAGAAAGATTCTCAGAATATCTTGGACAAAGAAGATGAGAAATATTGACATCTTAAAAGATCTGAACATCAAGGAAGATTGGCTAATAAACAGCATCCTTTCTCGAAAGCTGAAATATTTTGGTCATATCAAGCGCTACGACGGATTAGAAAAAATTATAGCAGAAGGCATGGTACCAGGAAGGAGGGGCAGAGGCCGACCGACACGAAGATGGGCACAGAATATAAGTGACTCCTTTAGTGTGAAAGTTCATGAGGTGGGAGAACTGGCAAGAGACCGAGTTTCTTACAGGCAGACTGTGATGAGAGCGACGTTCTGCAAAGGACCTGCTACATGATGATGATATTGGTTTATAGGGGATATAGAAACTAAAGTTAAGAAAAACTTTCAATTATTTGGTTAAAAAGGGTACAAAATATTAAATATTTGAACTAATATCTTTAGATTAGGAAACATTTTTAATATTTTTGAAATTATTAATTAATTTACAGTGACACATTTTAAAATGTTGGACCTGACGAAATACATAAATCTGGGGAAGCAGTTTGGGTTATCAGGAGATGGACTGAACAAATTCTGTGAAGGAAGAGAACAGGAAAACAGAGAAGCACAAAGGTCCAGCAACAATTGGATAGAGAAGAAAGGATGTTAGCACGCACTCACGAGTTAGCGCTTGGACATAAGCAATTATAGCAAGAAACAGCACTAAGAGACAAGTAGTTAGAGCATGGAGCAAATTTAAAACAGCAGTAGTTAGACCACGAGAAACAAATCAAAGAACAATAGTTAAAGCTTGAAAATGAGCGGTTGGCAGCACAAGTGAATGCAGACATAGAGAAAGTAGAAGCATAGATAAAAACAAAAGAAATTAATAATGAATATAAAGCAGAACTGGCAGCACAAAGGGAAAGAACTAAAGAAAAAGAACATAAATTTACAAAATACAAAGGACTGGTAAAGAATTTAGGAGAAAAAGACGACATAGGATTGTGGATTTCTGCATTTTTACTCCAAGTTTGTTTTGACAAATTTCTAAAAGAAGACTGGGCAATACTGTTCCAATGATTTCTTGAGGGTGATCCGTTGAAAATTTGAGAAACAGTGCGAGAACATTTATGAGCAGATTTCAACTATATTAAAGACAGAATCATGCGCCACTATGACTCACAAGAGGCAGTATATAGATTGCAATTCATTTATAAAACCAAAAGCAACTCAGACGTAAACTGTTTGAATCTTTGCCAAAACCAATGACAATGTTTCTGAAAAAACACAAACCGACCTTCTTAATCCAGTTAGAGCAGCCCACCATGAGATCTTTCTCATATCGCATATATTCAGAAGCTAATGCACAGGAACAAAGTTCATACAAAGCAGGATACAATAAATAGACATATCGAGCAAAGACAAAATATCATGGAGAAAGAAAGGTAAGAATAATAGAATGTGAGGTGTGCAAAAAAAAGGCATGGCAATGATGCACTATGTGATGCCAATGAAAGGTATGGACAAGAAGTCAGAACAAAAATCAAGAATAGAAGAAAGAAGGTAATAAGGTATGATTATGCAAGTAAATGCTGGGGTTGTGGATTTTACGGGCACATTTGACAATTTTGCAAATATAAGAAAGAATTCAAAGCAGCAGCAGTATGTGAAACATCAGATTCTGATTCAGGAAATGAAATATTGAAAGCAAATGCAGCAGTGCTACTAGAAGATGACAAATGCACAACTCACAAATGTGAGGCTTTTCAAGAATACGATTTGCCGTGTGGGCATAAGATACCGGTGCATAATGGAAATTCGGTGAAGGATTGTGAAAGAGTAAATTGACATAAAGGGACTGTTGGTAACCCAATTGTTTTAGTTCTGAGAGACACAGGAGCGATGATATCAGGCATTAATAAGTCACTAGTAAAACCAGAAGACATGACCAATAGGTCTGTCAGATGTAGAACATTCGAAGGCAGAATAGAGAAATTTAGAATTACATCAATATGGGTGAAGACGCCTTATACCACAAAGAAGATGGTCATGGCCATATTGAGCTTGCCATGTGCAAAAGTTATAATTGGTAACCAACCTGGGCTTAAGGAAATGACGGATCATGAAATAAAACAGTGGGAGAAAGAAAACATACCCGAGATGTTAGAAGAGTTGATGACATCAATGCATAGCAAAGAGACAAACACAGAGAGAGAAACTGAAAGTGAGAATTTGAATCAGGATGAGATGGAAAATGTTGCAGCAGTGACAAGAAGTGCAACAAAAAAGCAATGAATGCAAGAGCACTCTAAAATCTGGATAAAGAACATAACTAAACTAAACACGATAAAAACACTAAACTGTTTTACCAAGAGCTGAAAAATTCTGTAACACTAAAACAACGTTTTGATGCAGCAGATAAATGTAAAATAAATAAAACTGGTTTACCAACAAACTATAAAGTGAAGGTAAAGTTAACAGTGCAGTTGCTATTAAAACTAATTATGAGATTGTTAATAAGTGCTGGCTACTGTGTTAAATCTGTTAGAAATTTTGCAAAATTAATGTAGAGTACTAGTGAACAGGCAGCGAACAAAATTAAACTGGGATCAGAAAAAAAATGATAAAATATAACTTTTTCGAGTGTGAGGTATTAGCCATTGCAATAAGTTTTAAAAAATTTCAGAAATTCTTAATCGGAAAAGAATTTACAATTATTACAGATAATTTGGCACTAGTGGAGCTGCAAAACATAGATGCTAATTGAAACGCTAGGGTATCCCGTTGGGCACTCTTATTATAAAAGTTTAAATTTGACATCATGCATGTTAAAAGTGTTGATAACCAAATTCCAGACATTATGTTCAGATGATAAAAATAACATGGGGAAGTAATCAAAAGGGGCAGAAGTTGGGAAAAGGGAGATAATTATTGTTAATAATTCAACACTACTAACAGATGTTCAATAAATTTGTTGTTACTAACAATTTAATATTCAACTAAATAGTTGTTGTATGATGTGATGACGTGAAACTGATGATGAGAAATGGTGTATAACAGTCGATAATAAAACGACACAGAAGTAACACCAAAAAATTGATTAACTTAGAAATGTTAGTTAATTTGATAATGTTCTGTTATATATTTGTAAATGAATAGTATTCTTTCCAAAAAACAACACAAATAGTAATAGTATAATGTAAAAGTATAGAATGAAATTGCCACAATGCTAAGATAGGAAAGGTTCTGGCGAAGCTTTTGGGTTATCAACCATGGTAATTGACAGATGCCAGCATATAACAGCAATTAACAAAAAGATGTACCAACAGTACCATACCACAGTCTGTTTCATCACTACCATGACTGCAGTCAATCTCCCCATCACATTTCCACATGAGGGCAATACATGAACCATCTGGACACCGGAACTGTCCTGGCTGGCAATCTTGGAGGGCTGGAATATGACACACACTGGTCAGTTCCCAGACAACATCATACATGTCAATGGGGGGCTAGAATGTATCACACACTGGTCAGTTTGAACACAACAACATCATACATGTCAATGGGGGGCTGGAATGTACCACACACTGGTCAGTTCGAACACAACATCATACATGTCAATGGGGGGCTAGAATATATCACACACTGGTCAGTTCACAGACAATATCATACATGTCAATGCGGGGCTGGAATGTATCACACACTGGTTAGTTCACAAACAACATCATACATGTCAATGGGGAGCTAGAATGTATCACACACTGGTTAGTTCACAGACAACAACATTCATGTCAATGGGCGGCTAGAATGTATCACACACTGGTCAGTTCACAGACAACATCATACATGTCAATGGGGGGCTGGAATGTATCACACACTGGTCAGTTCACAGACAACATCATACATGTCACTGAGGGGCTGGAATGTATCACACACTGATCAGTTCACAGACAACATCATACATGTCAATGGGGGCTGGAATGTATCACACACTAGTCAGTTCACAGACAACATCATACATGTCAATGGGGGGCTGGAATGTATCACACACTGGTCAGTTCGAACACAACAACATCATACATGTCAATGGGGGGCTGGAATGTATCACACACTGGTAGTTCCCAGACAACATCATACATGTCAATGAGGGGCTGGAATGTACCATACACTGGTCAGTTCGAACACAACAACATCATACATGTGAATGGGGGGCAGGAATGTATCACACACTGGTCAGTTCAAACACAACAACATCATACATGTCAATGGGGGGCTGGAATGTATCACACACTGGTCAGTTCCCAGACAACATCATACATGTCAATGGGGGGCTAGAATATATCACACACTGGTCAGTTCGAACACAACATCATACATGTCAATGGGAGGCTAGAATATATCACACACTGGTCAGTTCACAGGCAACATCATAGATGTCAATGGGGGGCTGGAATGTATCACACACTGGTTAGTTCACAGACAACATCATACATGTCAATGGGGGGGGGGGGGGGGGGGGGCTAGAATGTATCACACACTGGTTAGTTCACTGGTTAGTTCACAGACAACATCATACATGTCAATAGGGGGCTAGAATGTATCATACACTGGTCAGTTCGAACACAACAACATCATACATGTCAATGAGGGGCTGGAATGTATCACACACTGGTCAGTTCACAGACAACATCATACATGTCAATGGGGGGCAGGAATGTATCACACACTGGTCAGTTCGAACACAACAACATCATACATGTCAATGATGAGCTGGAATGTATCACACACTGGTCAGATCACAGACAACATCATACATGCCAATGAGGGGCTGGAATGTATCACACACTGGTCAGTTCACAGACAACATCATACATGTCAATTGGGGGAGGGGGGGGGCTGGAATGTATCATACACTGGTCAGTTCACAGACAACATCATACATGTCAATGGGGGGCTGGAATGTATCACACACTGGTCAGTTCACAGACAACATCATACATGTCAATGGGGGGCTGGAATGTATCATACACTGGTCAGTTCGAACACAACAACATCATACATGTCAATGGGGGGCTGGAATGTATCACACACTGGTCAGTTCACAGACAACATCACACATGTCAATGGGGGGCTAGAATATATCACACACTGGTCAGTTCACAGACAACATCATACATGTCAATGGGGAGCTAGAATATATCACACACTGGTCAGTTCGAACACAACAACATCATACATGCCAATGGGAGGCTAGAATATATCACACACTGGTCAGTTCACAGACAACATCATACATGTCGATGGGGGCTGGAATGTATCACACACTGGTCAGTTCACAGACAACATCATACATGTCACTGAGGGGCTGGAATGTATCACACACTGGTCAGTTCACAGACAACAACATACATGTCAATGGGGTTTTGGAATGTATCACACACTGGTCAGTTCACAGACAACATCATACATGTCAATGGGGGGCTGGAATGTATCACACACTGGTCAGTTCGAACACAACAACATCATACATGTCAATGGGGGGCTGGAATGTATCACACACTGGTTAGTTCCCAGAAAACATCATACATGTCAATGAGGGGCTGGAATGTATCATACACTGGTCAGTTCGAACACAACAACATCATACATGTGAATGGGGGGCAGGAATGTATAACACACTGGTCAGTTCGAACACAACAACATCATACATGTCAATGGGGGGCAGGAATGTATCACACACTGGTCAGTTCACAGACAACATCATACATGTCAATGGGGGGATAGAATATATCACACACTGGTCAGTTTGAACACAACATCATACCATACATGTCAATGGGGAGCTAGAATATATCACACACTGGTCAGTTCACAGACAACATCATACATGTCAATGGGGGGCTGGAATGTATCACACACTGGTTAGTTCACAGACACCATCATACATGTCAATGGGGGGCTAGAATGTATCACACACTGGTAAAGTTCACAAACAACATCATACATGTCAATGGGGGGGGGGGGGGGCTAGAATGTATCACACACTGGTCAGTTCGAACACAACAACATCATACATGTCAATGGGGGGCTGGAATGTATCACACACTGGTCAGTTCACAGACAACATCATACATGCCAATGAGGGGCTGGAATGTATCACACACTGGTCAGTTTGAACACAACAACATCATACATGTCAATGGAGGGCTAGAATATATCACACACAGGTCAGTTCGAACACAACAACATTATACATGTCAATGGAGGGCTAGAATATATCACACACTGGTCAGTTCGAACACAACAACATCATACATGTCAATGGGGGCTGGAATGTATCACACACATGTCAGTTCGAACACAACAACATTATACATGTCAATGGAGGGCTAGAATATATCACACACTAGTCAGTTTGAACAAACAACATTATACATGTCAATGGAGGGCTAGAATATATCACACACTGGTCAGTTCGAACACAACATCATACATGTCAATGGGGGGCTAGAATATATCACACACTGGTCAGTTCACATACAACATCATACATGTCAATGGGGGGCTGGAATGTATCACACACTGGTTAGTTCACAGACAACATCATACATGTCAATGGGGGGCTAGAATGTATCACACACTGGTTAGTTCACAGACAACATCATACATGTCAATGGGGGGGCTAGAATGTATCACACACTGGTTAGTTCACAGACAACATCATACATGTCAATGGGGAGCTGGAATGTATCACACACTGGTCAGTTCGAACACAACAACATCATACATGTCAATGGGGGGGCTGGAATGTATCACACACTGGTCAGTTCACAGACAACATCATACATGTCAATGGGGGGGGGGGGGGGGGGGGGGGGCTAGAATGTATCACACACTGGTCAGTTTGAACACAACAACATCATACATGTCAATGGGGGGCTGGAATGTATCACACACTGGTCAGTTCGAACACAACATCATACATGTCAATTTGATGCTAGAATATATCACACACTGGTCAGTTCACCGACAACATCATACATGTCAATGGGGGGCTGGAATGTATCACACACTGGTCAGTTCACAGACAACATCATACATGTCAAATCCTCTTGTAAATAATCCACTGCTGATGTTCTTAAAGTTCAGATACGACACGTCGTCGTTTAAAAATACGACTAGTAGTCGGTTATGAATACTGGGATTAAATCCCTTAAACTGTCTCTTTGTCTGTGCCGATTCTATGGCAACATGACAATGGGTACAATTGTGTACTAATCGTTGAGTCGTTGGTGTTATGAAAAATGCCGCAGGGCCCTCAGATCGGTCAGAAATCACTACAGTAATCCAGAACGAATTAATATAGAACTACACTCGTTAATCTGAATACTGCACTTGAAAAACTAACGACCTCCGACCTCCGACAGTGGGAAATGAAATGACCGAAACATGGCGACTTCTGTTCAAAATGGATGACCCACGTGAGGCCAGCCATGCGCATGCGCCAAAAAGATGGAGCGCCATCTGGTACGTTCTATTTTATTGGTCGGACAGGGCACTGTGATTGGTTGCAAAACTATTATTCCATGATTTCAATGTAACTAGTCCTATCTGGTTTCTAGCGGAAAGTAATAGGGGAAATCGGGTCCTCTAACTTCTGTTATATATATATCTAACTATACAGGTAACTAGGGGAGCATCAGTGGTCATTGCCAGTACTGTCACACTGGTCAGTTCACAGACAACATCATACATGTCAATGGGGGGCTGGAATGTATCATACACTGGTCAGTTCACAGACAACATCATACATGTCAATGGGGGGGCTGGAATGTATCACACACTGGTCAGTTCACAGACAACATCATACATGTCACTGAGGGGCTGGAATGTATCACACACTGGTCAGTTCACAGACAACATCATACATGTCAATGGGGGCTGGAATGTATCACACACTGGTCAGTTCACAGACAACATCATACATGTCAATGGGGGGCTGGAATGTATCACACACTGGTCAGTTCGAACACAACAACATCATACATGTCAATGGGGGGCTGGAATGTATCACACACTGGTCAGTTCCCAGACAACATCATACATGTCAATGAGGGGCTGGAATGTATCATACACTGGTCAGTTCGAACACAACAACATCATACATGTCAATGGGGGGCTGGAATGTATCACACACTGGTCAGTTCACAGACAACATCATACATGTCAATGGGGGGGCTGGAATGTATCACACACTGGTCAGTTTGAACACAACAACATCATACATGTCAATGGAGGGCTAGAATATATCACACACTGGTCAGTTCAAACACAACAACATCATACATGTCAATGGGGGGCTAGAATATATCACACACTGGTCAGTTCGAACACAACAACATCATACATGTCAATGGGGGGCTAGAATATATCACACACTGGTCAGTTCGAACACAACAACATCATACATGTCAATTGAGGGCTAGAATATATCACACACTTGTCAGTTCCAGGGCAACATCATACATGTCAATGGGGGGCTAGAATGTATCACACACTGGTCAGTTTGAGCACAGCAACATTATACATGTCAATGGAGGGCTAGAATATATCACACACTGGTCAGTTTGAACACAACAACATTATACATGTCAATGGAGGGCTAGAATATATCACACACTGGGCAGTTTGAGCACAGCAACATTATACATGTCAATGGAGGGCTAGAATATATAGCACACCGGTCAGTTCCCAGACAACATCATACATGTCAATGGAGGGCTAGAATATATCACACACTGGTCAGTTCAAACACAACATTATACATGTCAATGGAGGGCTAGAATATATCACACACTGGTCAGTTCGAACACAACAACATCATACATGTCAATGGAGGGCTAGAATATATCACACACTGGTCAGTTTGAACACAACAACATCATACATGTTAATGGAGGGCTAGAATATATAGCACACCGGTCAGTTCCAGGGCAACATCATACATGTTAATGGAGGGCTAGAATATGTAGCACACCGGTCAGTTCCAGGGCAACATCATACATGTTAATTGTAATAGAGTTGTTGTTTGCCCTTGTAATAATGTTGTATTTACCTGGGTCTTGCACCCATTCTACCATCTAGGGATTTTAATACACAAACGATGCTCGGTTTACATTGTACCAGCTATCAGTTTATTCCTTCACATTCTATGATGCATGCTGACGATTGTTCACACATCCATATCTTCCAACCGACTACTGACACTAGCCATCCACATAACATTGGAACTATCTCCTTTAATAAACAACATCTTCTAATAAGACAACTGACTTTTGTGAATTCTCTGATGCGATTGACGAGTCCAGCTCGGGCCTGCCCACGTCTACTCAACTGGCCCCAAGTATCCCGTGCGGTCACTTGGTGCCCAGGTTTCCTACCTGGTTCGCTATATGCACGGAGAGCATGCGAAGCTCCTCGGGGCTGGAATATACCCCATACCAGACAGTTCCAAGAAAACATCACAAACAGGACAGTTCTAAGACATCACAAACAGGACAGTTCTAAGACATCACACACACATTGACATTTTCAAGACAACATTCCACACTGGTCAGTTCCAAGACCTGAGTGCCGGTGGAACAATCAAGACCTGTGTACAGTCATAAACATACTGACCCGGGAGAGCAGCAAGTGGTCAGCAGGTGCCATGAAGGTGGAAATTCTGCTATTAGTTCAGGATAATGCCCGTTCAGGTGATGTGATTATTTATACAGTGTCATGCGGCAAAAGAAGTGCCTGGGGGTTCCTAGAAAAAGCTAGTAAGCAACATTTAGTGCAGGAGAGCCTAGTAAGATACCACAACATCCAGTTCATGAATGAAAGTGGAGGCGGAGGCAGTCAGTGCAACTTTCCACTGGCTAGAGAACATAATTCACATAATGATTGTAACTGACTCAGAAAGCATGCTGAGGATGGGGAGGACAGGCATGCCTTGTGTAGAGTGACTTGCTTTGCTTAGGAGGTCATGGTGAGGTGCATTGTCTGGTTCTTTTCTCCAGGTCATGATGGTGTGTTGGGAAATGAACAGGTGAACAGATTAGCTGACTCTGCCCAACTTCGTGAAACATTCATTCATGATAATGCAGACATGGTTAAGACCTTATGTGAGCACATGTGCAGTTTGGAGGTGCAAATATATCACCTTAGTCTGGTGAATGATTCTGCGGGGTGACAATGGATCTGGTAGATTCTCAGCACTTAGAGGTAAAGCAAGGCCAGACATATAATCAGACTGCTAGTGACTCTATTGGTACTGAAACTCTGTAGTGACTGCTGAAGACGAGGACAGATGGAAATCATCTCTATAAATGATCACATCACGCCAGTGAGCATTATCCTAAACTAACTGCTAAATTTCCACTTCCCAAGCATCTACTGCCACTACCAGCACTCCCCGCTCAATATTATAATTAGTCTACACAAGTACAACTTTATGTTTTCTATTATTCACTTACGACATTCTTCATCGGTGCTGTCCTCGCAATCATCATCACCATCACATCTCCACTCGTTCGGTACACAATTACCATTTCTACAGTGCAACTCTCCGCTAGAGCAGTTACGCTGAGCTGAAAGTAAATATATGACAGTGAAATATTTATACACTGGATCTTAAAATGAAACATTTACAAGGCGCGTTTTTAAAGTAAGTCCCATTTTGACCATACCGATAAACACTGTTAGAAAACATACATGTGCATATGCAGTATGTTCACGTAGTTCAATAGCTTGCTGCATGCTATTTTTCAAAATCTTGTTTGTTACTGTGTGTAAGTGATTTATAATGAGTGCAAAAATAAATACTCCTGGTGGCTGAGAGGTTTATGCAGTGATTCGTTTTCTTCTTCTTCTTCTTCAGCATTCTGAGCAATTGAGGTTCACTGCTGCAGATATCACCCGCCTCCAACATCTCTCTAGTTGGCCTTCTCTTTCCAGTTGGTGACACCAAGTGTTTGCAGGTCTGTCTGGATATTATATTTCCATCATCTTCTTGGTCTGCCTCATGGTCTATGACCATTCATCTCCCTCGTGTATCCAGTTTTACTTCTCCGTCACCTGACATTCTTTCAAAATGCCCCAACCATTTCAGTCTTTTAGCTCTCATGATGCCAGTGATCAGTGGTGATTTAAACAGATTATGAATTTTGTTGTTGCTTCTCACTCTCCATTCACCGCTGTCTGCATCTTTAATAAGTCCAAAGATTCGTCGTAAGACTCTGTTTTCTAAAACCTGTAAAATGGCTTCATCTCTTTTAGTTGTGCTCCAAGTTTCAGAGCCATATAACATGAATGGTCTTATCAACGTTTTATATATTTTGATTTTGATGTTGCGAGACAGACACTTTGACTTTAGCAGATGTTAAAGGGCATAATATACTTTATTTCCAGATTGTATTCTAGATTGTATTTCTTCTCTCAGCATGTCGGAGTAGTTGAAGTTTGCACCCAAGTACTTATGTTTCCGTTTGTTTGATTTTCATATTATCGACTTGTATGTGGCCGGAGTTTATATCCTTTCACTATCTAGTTATTATCAAGTATTCTGTCTTATCTTGATTGATAACTAGTCCCAATTTCTGAACTGATTCTTTAAAGACATTCAGTGTTTTAACAGTCTCTTGTTCATTTTCTCCAACGATATCAATGTCATCAGCATATATAAATATTCTTGTAGTTTCTTCTATAGTACACTCTTGTTTTAATTTTCTTATAATTTTCTCCAGGCCCAAGTTGAAAAGTGGGGAAAGAGCATCGCCTTGCTTTAAACCAGATGTTATTTGAAAAGGGTCTGACTTTCTGCCTTTATATATTACTATATTACGAGTGATTGCACAGTCAACTCATTGAGGTTTATGGGCCAGATGTTATGACTGATAGTATGGTTAGGAAATGGTGTTGAATGTTTATAGAAAAGCAAACAAATATCCACAACGTAGATCATAGTGGTCGGCCAAATGTAGTGACAGACAACATGGTCAAAGAAATTAACCAAAAAATTAAGAAAAATCATCGTTTCACAATTTCTCTGTGTCTGTTGAATTTTCAAAAGTTTAGTGTTTACTAATTTAAAACACTGTGACAAGAAACCTTGGATCCCAAAAAATTGTGTGCCATATTGGTTTCAAAAATGTTAACCGATGAACACAAGCAGAAACGCAACGATATCAACATCAATGAGATGCATTTTTGGGGCACTTTATTACTGGTGATGAAATCTGGATTCCCTACATAAACATCAAATCAAGCAACAGTCAATGCGATGGCGACACTCATGGTCCCTGAAAGCAAAGAAGTTTTCTGTCAAAAGATCATGGCCAGTGTTTTGAGGGACAAAAAAGGGGTCTTGTTTTTTCTTATTCTTCTGCCTTTCTAGCCCCCAATGAAGCACAGGCCCTCAACCAACTCACGATAAGCCGTTCTATCTTTTGCTATCGCATGTAGCTCTCCTCATCTTTTTAACTTCATTCTCCAGCTTCCTTCTCCATGTGTTTCTTGGCTTTCCTTTATTCCTATGTCCCTGTGGGTTCTGGTGCTAAGATATTCAAGTTATTTTGTTCTTCTGTTTTCTCAATGTGTGTCCTATCCAATGCCAGCGTCTTTTCTTCACCTCTTGATCCACTGGAGCTTGCTTAGTTCTCTCCCAAAGCTGTACATTAGTGATTCTATCATACCATTTAATTCCCTCTATTCTGCGCAGGCACCAGTTAATGAATGTCTGTGGTTTATTAGTAATTGCCTTAACTGTTCTCCATGTTTCCGCTCCATACAAAAGTACTGATTTGACATCAGCATTAAAAATTTTAAGTTAAGTATTTCTTATGACCTCCACACATTCCCTAATGCTTTGAAAGTTCCTCTTGCTTTTTGTATTCTTATTTTAATATCTCTATCAGTTCCCCCATCTTTATCTACATTACTGCCTAAATATGTGTATGACTCCATGTCTTGGAGTGGGGTAACATTAAAGAGAAACTACATTACTATTTGCCTGATTTATTCTTATTATCTTTGTCTTTCCTTTATGGATTTTCAGACCACGCTGCTGTGATCCGTATCAAGTCTTGTTTATTGATTTTCTATTAATGCCAAAGCTTATTGTGGCACTCTGATAAAACTTAGATGTGCCATCCAAAACAAAAGATGTGGGTTGCTGTCCTCTGAAACTGTGCTTTTGCATGATAATACTCAAACTCACGTCACAGATGGAACTGTTCGATTGTTGGAAAAATTGTAGACCACCTGCCCTACAGTCCCGATCTGGCGCCAAGTGATTAACATATTTTCATGCACCCAAAGATTTGGCTGGCATCCCAGCAGTTGAAACTGATGATAAACTGAATGGGTCAAGACACTGGCGGCAGTCTTCTATGACATTGAAATTAAGAACCTGGTGCCACGATATCAAAAATGTGTTGAAGTCAATAGTGATTAAGTTGAAAAATAATTTAATCTGGGAATATGGTAATTTTAGTTTCAGCTTCATAGCAAACGGGTCACCCCATAGTTGCTCCGCTTCTGTGCCAACGAAAAACACACAAAATGTTTATCACAGTTCAAATGAAATCTGCAGCTCACAGTGTCACGCCATGCACTCAACTCAGAAGCTGGGCAACGAAACTATATCCTTCCAGTCTACAAATGGAGCAAAAATGCAACGGCCACCTCTGGCAGAAGCAAAAAAATTTGCCATGGCTAAAAGAAGTGGCCGTGCCTAGCGTCCATTTTGACCTGAAGCATTATGTGAGGGTTAATGAACGGTCACCCAGTAGTACCCTCACTATTAGCTGGGGAAGGGACTTAGGACATTACATCCACCAGCAAGCGTCGCCCCTACAACAACCTGACTGCCTTCGTTAACGACTGTTCACCCAACAGCCATGCAGTTCTTTGGCACGAAGGATGAAAAATAATGTAAATGTGTGGTTCACTTTTGGCTGCAATAAATAATTTTTCTATATTATGAGTTTTTTAAATTTTATGCTGGGACTTAGTAAAAAAAACGTGCCTTGTATTTGTGGATGTCCTCTCTCAGTCAGGGACTGTTGTATGCTGTCTTCCCAGCGGGCCCTGGGTCGCCCTGGAGGTCTTGCAGTGTGTTTAACTCTTTGAGTCCCAAGAAACGCATCACGCGCTAATTGGTTACTACCTGGTGGCCCAATCGACGCGTAATAAGTGAAGGTTACCACTGACCAATTATAAAACGCTGACCGCTCAATTTCTACTTTCTTCCAAGTTCTTTGTGTTTGATATCAGGTGTGCTTATTTGGAAACATGGTTTAAAAGCTAAAAATATAGTACATTTGCAAGGTCTACCGAGGTCCTAAGTGTTTGTTTGAAAACAATATAGCCACCGAGCAGTATTCTACATGCATGCCAACATAATTTATGGCTTTAGAAGCCTCAAAGTTAGATCAAGCCCGTGTTTATTAGATTTATCCAAAATTAGATAGATAACGTTGCAAAGTAGACTTGTTTCAGTTACTTATAGAGTCAAACTTTGATGAGGGATAACTAATGTGTACCTCACACGAAAGGTACAATGATAGCAAATTCAACCGGCACAATTAAAATAAATATTAGTGAAAATGTGATTTTCTTCAGTGTCGGTTAGTTTAAGGCTATTTCTCTAATCATTACTGAACATAGCCACAAACTTACAGGCAAATTGTGTGTTATGTACATTTTGTTTTGTGTGAAGATACTCATTGTTTTGGGAAGTCAGTTCTCTTTACTAAATAATGGTGCTCTGTTATGATGCTTCAAAAGATTCTCTGGAATAAAATCTAATGTACAGATTGAGTTTAAATTTTACATTACTAAGTGGTTCAAGTTCATTTGTTTTTCATTTTGAATATATTTTAACCAGTTTTCCTCAAGTGCCATGGTGGTAAATGGAAAAATGTTTTTTTCATTTTACTAATTTCTGTAAACATACCAAATGTTTATTTACTAATATTTAATTACTATCGCAATTATTTGTTGTAGCAGTATTCTATTATTATTTCCTATTACAATTCCTGGTCACTTTGATGTATAATATGTGTATGTTGCGCGGCAGTTGAATTAGAATGGTGTTTTAATTTGTTACAATTGTAAAATTAAAAAATTGCAATTCCACCCCTTGGGCCTCTGATGCAAAACCCTCTGGGACTCAAAGAGTTAAACCATCATCTCTTCACAATACACACTCTGAGCTATCATATATTGTTTGAATACTTATTATTTTCATTAGTATGCCATAACATTCTAACACTGTCTGCAGTGATGTTCTATGTAAGCTATCAGTTTTGCTTTTTCGTACTCAGATTATGTATTTTGTTGGTTAGTTTCCAGTTGCAAATGCACTTTTGACAGCAAATATAGTGCAGATAAACAGTGGCTGATCAGAAGATTTGTTATGTACAACAGAAGATACAGAAAAGCAGAACAAGCTGTGAACACTTACGGCAGCTGATTTCATCTGAGTGATCTCCACAGTCATCATCTCTGTCACACACCCACTTCATCTGGATACAATGGCCATTGGCACAGGTGAAGTCAGTTTCAGGACACTTGTGATTACCTGAAGAGACAAATGCCATGTTCTCACCACCAGGATAAACAAGTGATATACTTGAAAAAGAAGGGCGAACACATATCTACCATACACAGAAGGAAAAGAAGCATATTTTGACCATATTTAGCATCTACATTCTCTTTCAGGACTACACTTCATTTGTACAGAAACATGTAGTCCCTAGATTTATTCATTATTCTATCAAGACTACACATAATTTATACTGAAACATGTAGTCCCTGATTTATTCATTATTCTCTTGAAGACAGGTCGCCAGTTCACTAGTTTAGTTATTCCCGTCGCACGGTCGCCAGTACACTGACTCTAATTTTGTTCTGTTTGTGGGGAAACTGAACTTTTATCAACAAGGTTTTGAGACATTAGGATTAACAACAGGATGTCCTTTTGTTTGTGAGGTCTCGCGTGGCTTTTGCGTCACTTTATGATTTTTTTTTTTTAATTATTTATTTTTGATTCAATTTTAGGTGATTTTTCTATACTAAATGATAAGGGAAAAGGTCTAGAACTGTTCATACTGCTCTGTTGTTTATGAATCTCTGCCAGATGGTGACAATAGTCTTGATATTATGATTGATATCTAAGTGACAAACCTATTGGTGATAATTTATTTTGGGATACGAAAATTGAACAAAATATTTTAATTGGATCATTTGTTTCGATCAGATGTTTTCCCAATTTTCGGTTGTTGTGAAATCTAACGTTATACAAAAATGATCATAACATTCAAAGTATTTAAATTAATTGTCTTAAATAACTGGACAGGATTTGTTATCAAGAAAAATTTGTGGAAAAGTATTATACATTTTGAAGCTCTTAGTGATAGGATCAGTAAGTTAGGAATAAAAGGAAAACTGAAAAATATCATGATGATTAATGCACCCACTGAAGATAAATAAGATGATATTAAAGAGGATTTCTATGATCTCCTTGAGAATATCATAGATGAAGCTCAAAAATGAGACATATTCATTCTTAGGAGAAATAGGAAGAGAAAACACCTATAAAAATGTAGCAGGCATGGAAAGCCTACATACTAATTCAAACCATAATGGATGGAGATTAATCAATCTCGCCATAGAGAAAGGACTACAGATAAGCAGCACAAGATTTCAAAGAAAATATATACATGAACAAACCTGTCAATCATGTGACAGGATAACTTATTATCAGATAGATCATATTTTAATAAATAATAGAAATGCATCGAACATACAACAAGTTAGAAGCTACAGAGGAGCTGAGCGTCGTCATAGTGACCACTACGTGGTTGGTGCAAAATTAAAAATCAAGCACACCAAGTTGCAAAGATCACATCCAGAGTACAATAGAGAGAGATTACAAGAAATATCCATATCTGAGAAATTTGCAGATAAATTAAAACATTAAATTGAAATTTTTAAAATTCCGTCAGAGGAAAATGTTGACCAAACCTGGATGGATATTAACCCTACCAGACCTCTGGCCCGGTTTACCGGGGATTTTTTAAACTGTCACTATACCGCTGGCCCTAATTTTCGGCTTTTTGCATAGTACAGGAAAACGATGCATCACGGACTAAAAATAACCACCCAATCGTTATCGATCCTCTTTGTTAGACATTGCAAATGTCTGCCCGCATTTGTTTGGATTATATTTGTGTTGTTTTACATGTAAAAATTATGAAAATTCACATTGAAACGAGCGGCTGATCAACCAAGTTCTAGGCTTTTCACAGTCCAACAGGTGATTGATACTTTAATTTATTCAGACTCTGTGATATATATATATATATATATATATTCATTATCTGTGATAATTTCATTTGTTCTTGAAGTGACACTGTCATTGAGAGCGCGAATGATGAGGAAAATCTTGAGAATTATCAATCTTGAAATAGATCGATAGTAGGAAGAGGGGGTGTGTCCATCAAATGGCAACATCTGGTGTTCACTTTGTGAAACAAAGTTGATTCTGATGAGTGAATTCGCACACAAAGGTGGAATTTTGGCGCTAGATAAAAGGTAAGCTTATTTTCTACAATGTCTCCAAGTTTCATCATATTCTAGCCACTCGTTTGCATGTAACTAATATTTTTGTATATCATGTTGGTTTTTTCGCTGTAATGCCCAGGAGCTCAGGTTATAGGGACAGTTAGGTTCAGGGCCTCAGGTCTGGTAGGGTTAAGAATATAATTCAAACCACTGCAGAAGAATGTCAGGTGTATTCACCATAAACAGAAAGAACAAATGGTTCAAAACAAAATGGGAAGAAGCAGTCAGTAAGAAAAAACATGGCAGGCAGATTTGGCTAAATGATACTAGTAACATACGAAATAAAGAAAAATATAGAACAGAATGTAAATAAGCTACAAAATTAGTTAGGCACCAAAATTGAGAATACAGAACAACACTGTCATGGATATGGAAGCCAACCATCAGAACAACAAATCGAAATAGTTTTTTAAAGAACTTAAGGCTGTATGTAAAACAAGGACATCAACAAAGCATTTATAGTTTTAAAATTCACAATGGAAACATGATAAAAAATAAAGAAGAAATATGTAACAGATGGAAGGAATTCTTTGCTGAATTGTTAAACTGTGAAACTCCATTTAATACCTATCTACAGGAAGAGATATTACCATGTGAACCAAATATTGATAAGCCTGATTTAAAAAAAGTACTGTATGTCATAACACGGCTTAAAAACAATAAAGCAACTGGTGCTGATGGAATTGCAGCCCAACTTTTAAAAAAAAGGTGGTCATGCATTACAAGTAAAGATAAATGAATTAATAAAACAAATTTGGAAGACAGAGAAATTACCCCATGAATGGAAAGTGTCTTTATTAATACCCATTTTTAAGAAAGGGGACAAATATAAATGAAAATAATAGAGGAATATCACGATTATCTACAAGCTATAAGATACAATCAGCGGTACTGCCAAACAGGCTAAAACCAAATGTCGAAGATATATTGGGAGATTACCAAGCAGGTTTCCGACAGAACAGATCAACAATAGATCAGATATTCATTTTACTACAAATTGCAGAGAAGAATTTGGAATATGGAAGAGATGTACATAATGTTTTTGTGTATTTTAAAAAAAGTGTATGATAGTGTACATAAAACAGTTTATGGAATGCTATGAAGGACTTTGGAAACCGAAGAAGTTAATTACCATGACCAAACTATGTATGGAAGACACTTGTAATATAGTAGTATATAAAGGCAGAAAGTCAGACCCTTTTCAAATAACATGTGGTTTAAAGCAAGGTGATCCCCTGTACCCACTTCTTTTTAACTTGGCCCTGGAGAAAATTATAAGGAATTTGAAACAAGAGTGTACTATATGAGAAACTACAAGAATACTTGGATATGAAGATGACATTGATATCTTTGGAGAAAAGGAACTAGAGATTGTTAAAACACTGACTGTTTTAAAAGAATCAGCTCAGAAAATGGGACTCGTTATCAATCAAGAGAAGACAAAATATATGATAATAACAGGGAAAGGATATAAACTCCGGCCACATCAAACGAACAGAAACGTATACGTACTTGGGTGCACACTTTAACTGCTCCAACATACTGAGAGAAGAAATACAATCTAGAATACAATCTGGAAATAAAGTACACTATGCCCTTCAACATCTGCTAAAGTCAAAGTGTCTGTCTCGCAACATCAAGATCAAAATATATAAAACGTTGATAAGACCAGTCGTTTTATATGGCTCTGAAACTTGGAGCACAACTAAAAGAGATATCTTACGACTAATCTTTGGACCCATCAAAGATGCAAACAGCAGTTAATGGAGAGTGAGAAGCAACAACGAAATTCATAATCTGCTTAAATCGCCACTGATCAATGGCATCATGAGAGCTAATAGACTAAAATGGTTGGGGCATATCTCTTCTTCTTCTTCGCGTTCACCAGCTGTAAACTCTGGCGGAAGGTTCTGGTTGCTCGACCACTACTGAACTGCAGTCCTGCTCCAGAACCTGAGTGTTGCATGTGCATCAGTTTTACAGATCTCATTCTCTTGAATACAGACTGTTGGTTCCCAGCCTCTCCGGCAGATGCACTTCGACTTCAAAGGAAGCTCCCCAATTAGTCGACTCTTACGACACGCTTTTAGGGAGGCAGTGGATCTATTCTTGTTTTCCCCACAATTGGGCACCGGAACCCACATGGGGCTTTGGGCATATTAAAAGAATGTCAGATGACAGAGAAGTAAAAACTATATAAACAAGGGAGATGAATGGTCGTAGACCATGAGACAGACCCAGAAGACGATGGAAATATCCAGACAGACTTGCAAACTCTTGGTGTTACCAACTGGAAAAAGAAGGCCAACCAGAGAAATTAATAGGGGTGGGTGATATCTGCAGCAATGAACCTCAAGGGCTCGGAATGCTGAAGAAGAAGAAGAAGAAGAAGAAATAAAGACTAGCTGATATATAACTGAACAGAGAATTGGATAGTAGTGTTGCTGAACAGGTAAAAAAAGTAAGGTAAGCACAACATTTTTTATGTAAATAATCTTCATTTGTGTCCTTCATCCTTGAATGCTGTGCAATTTTAATAATATTTTGTTGTAAATTTTTGTCAACATGAAGATGCAGCAAGCAGTCTGTACTAGAACAAACAGAAGATGCAGTGAACAGTCTGTACTAGAACAAACAGAAGATGCAGTGAACAGTCTGTACTAGAACAAACAGAAGATGCAGCAAGCAGTCTGTACTAGAACAAACAGAAGATGCAGTGAACAGTCTGTACTAGAACAAACAGAAGATGCAGTGAACAGTCTGTACTAGAACAAACAGAATGTGCAGTGAACACTCTGTACTAGAACAAACAGAAGATGCAGTGAACAGTCTGTACTAGAACAAACAGAAGATGCAGTGAACAGTCTGTACTAGAACAAACTGAAGATGTAGTGAACAGTCTGTACTAGAACAAACAGAAGATGCAGTGAGCAGTCTGTACTAGAACAAACAAAAGATGCAGTGAACAGTCTGTACTAGAACAAACAGAAGATGCAGTAAACAGTTTGTACTAGAACAAACAGAAGATACAATGAGCAGTCTGTAAGAGAACAAACAGAAGATGCAGTAAGCAGTCTGTAAGAGAACAAACAGAAGATGCAGTAAGCAGTCTGTACTAGAACAAACAGAAGATGCAGTAAGCAGTCTGTACTAGAACAAATAGAAGCAGTAAGCAGTCTGTACTAGAACAAACAGAAGATGCAGTGAACAGTCTGTACTAGAACAAACAGAAGATGCAGTGAGCAGTCTGTACCAGAACAAATAGAAGATGCAGTGAGCAGTCTGTAAGAGAACAAACAGAAGATGCAGTAAGCAGTCTGTAAGAGAACAAATAGAAGATGCAGTGAGCAGTCTGTAAGAGAACAAACAGAAGATGCAGTAAACAGTTTGTACTAGAGCAAATAGAAGATGCAGTAAGCAGTCTGTAAGAGAACAAACAGAAGATGCAGTAAGCAGTCTGTACTAGAACAAATATAAGATGCAGTAAGCAGTCTGTACTAGAACAAATTGAAGATGCAGTAAGCAGTCTGTACTAGAACAAATAGAAGATGCAGTAAGCAGTCTGTACTAGAACAAATAGAAGATGCAGTAAGCAGTCTGTAAGAGAACAAACAGAAGATGCAGTAAGCAGTCTGTAAGAGAACAAACAGAAGATGCAGTAAGCAGTGTGTACTAGAACAAATAGAAGATGCAGTAAGCAGTCTGTACTAGAACAAATAGAAGATGCAGTAAGCAGTCTGTACTATAGCTGGTGGGCACTGAGAGAGAAATCTTACTGCAGTCCTGTTCATCTGTGGCATCCTCACAGTCCTCCTCACCATCACATAGCCAGCTCCTGGGAACACAAACACATTTCTGACCACACAAGAAGTAATGACTGGGACAACTGCTGCAGGACTTGCTAGTGTTGGAAACTGTGGAAAGATACAGGAGACACTTATAAGGCTAACAATAACTGTTTCAACATGAACACAGGGGAGAAACCTGTTAGGCTAACAATAACTGTCTCAACATGAACATACCAGTAACTGTCGCAACATGAACATGTGATAAACCTATTAGGCTAATAATAAACAATAACTGTCTCAACATAAACATGCAAATAACTGTCTTAACATGAACATACAAATAACTGTCTCAACATGAACACATGGGAGAAACCTGTAAGCTAACAATAATTGTCTTAACATGAACATACAGCAGAAATCTATTTGTTTAAGAACAACTATCTCAACATGAATATAACAGTAACTGTTTCAAAATGAATATAAGAATAAGTGTCCCAACATAAATATAACAGTAACTGTCTCAGCATGAAAGTAACAATAATTGTCTAAACATGAACACAAGGGAGAAAGCTATTAGGCTAAGAATAACTGTCTCAATATGAGGCTGTTAGGCTAATACTCAAAGCTAACAATAACTGTCTCAGCAGGAATGTAACAATAACTGTCCCACCATGAAGATGTGGGAGAAATCTACTGCATACAGTCAACATCACCCTGTAGCTTTGGAGCAAGAAAGTAGAAATGCCAGTCAACTTTTACTGGGTACGTTCAGCATGGAGACATTTTGATGGTTGCTGCATCAGGGGATGGAACACCAATGGGTCAAACCAATGTGCTAGGATGTTGATGCGGATAGCAAGTAACAAGTTGGCAGCAAGTCAGCGAGACAATACAGATAATTACTTCACTCTTTAAGTCCCAAAGAACATATCATACGTTCATAGGTTCCTACATATAAGCCCAGTGAATACATGATGCATTGATTTTGTGTCTCTCTTTATTACCTCTAGGGCCTCTGATGATAAACCCACTAGGACCGAAAGAGTTAATGGACTTATGGCTGGAGATGAGTCCAATGAAATGAACAGCTGCTCTAGGTATGATCCAAGAAACCTATCCCAAAAAGTCATAGATACATGCCTACACAGATGATCAGCAACCTGTGCAGTTAAAAATGGGAGGGAGTTGGGGCTGGCATCTTTATCACATATCCAGACAAACACTACCAGACAAAGTAGATCTGCCTACTGTCTTTCTCTCCTTCACGCTGTTTAGTGTCGCAGGCACAGCTAGTGACTGGTTCTTGTGATAGTGTGTGCTCGTCAGCTTGCGGCATGGCGATTCTGTTGAGTTTTAGCAAGTTGTTAACTCCATCAATCCATGTTCCTCTTGGTCTTTCTCTGCTCTTGATGTTTTCACTCTCATGCTGTGCTCTTGCAACCGGTGATGGTGGGTTCATTCTGACCAGGTGGCCAAACCATTTCAGTATGTTTTTCGGTAAATCTAATTACAGGTCCAGTTCCTACCATTCTAATATCTTCATTTCTTTTCTGGTCTTTTCTTGTTATGGTGACTGCTTTACTCAAATACCCGATTTCACATTTCATTAGTTTCTACTCTAGCCGCCATCCTGGCTAATGATGTATATGAGGGGTTTCAACATAAACATGAAACAGTGGTGGCGGCACTGGATTTAGAAGATGCACAGGGCTAGATATGACGTTTTACTGTACACACTTATGGATATAGAGGTCAGTATCTGGACTGTCAAATGGATTGTAGCAGTCCTGTATTAACAGCAGACTGCCTTTCACCTAAGCTCGTGGAGCTCTGAACCATCTAGTATCGCACCTGGTCTCCCACAGGGTTCTGCCATTTCCCCAGTGCTTTTCAATATATACAATAGCAGGATAGCGGCAATGGAGATTTTGATATAGGAAGAATCTTGACTTTTGGTGGTGATGTCTTAGTCTACACACAGGGGAGAAACAGAAAAGAATATTTAGAGAACTACAGTCTGTGGTCGGGTGTGGTGGGAGGAAACAGGCTCAGTCATCAACCTAGACAAGGTGGCGTTTTTGTGGTTTGCTTTAAATAATAGCATTCTTAGAGATATGTTGCTGGACATAACAATCAATGGCAGTAATTTAAAGAGAGATAATTCACTAAAATATCTAGGAATTAATTTTGACATAAGTCCGTCTTTCAAACAGAATGTGGAGGAGGTAGTTTTAAAAATAAAGAAAGGACTCAATGCTATGAAGGTGATGGCATCAGCGGACATGGAACAGAAACTGCTCTATACACTCTACCAGCAACTGATTATTTAGGGACGGAGCATGGTTTAGGGGTGCTAACATTCTCTCAAGCCCAAATTGAGAAATGACAAACTGAAGCCACGTAAGTCATTTTGGGGTGCATATGATACATGCTAATTGTGTGCATGCGGCACATAATTGCATTACCATCTGTATATAAAACATACACGGTTTTACTTGTTAAAATGTACCTTAAAGTCGCAACAGGCAGAAAACAACCTCTGCATGAGGCACTAGAGGATGGCAAGGGACAACGGCTTAAAAGAGACAGCTCCTGAATGGCACAGACAGAAGTCATGATTAGAAATGTTGGCACTCTTCCGAATACCGGTCCCAAATTATTCACCGTTAAAAAATCATATTCAGGGCCTCAAGAGGTCATTTTTTAACCATAAACAGGGCGGTTGGCACGTTGTGTTGTGGTTTACAGCTAGGCTGCGAAATATGCGCCTTTCGCTTGTTCTTGTGGTTCACAGCTAGGCTGCGATAGCGGCGGCGAAATGCTCAATGATAATGTCACGGGTAGGTAAACTTCGTTCTTTTCGCTCACCCTTGAAAGAATGGATCTCACGTTGTGTTGTGGTTTACAGCTAGGCTGCGATATCTGCGCCCTTTGCCCCAAAGCATCCAATTTCAGCAGTCCTAATTAGTCGCCTTTTACAAATTTTATGTGGCAGTGGATCTATTTTTTCTTTCCCTTAAAATATTTGGCCCTGGACCCCCGCAAGGGCAGTAATAGGTAATGTAAACAATGGATCAAAAATCATTCACGTCGCTTAAATGGATGGAACTCTACTCCCCCCCAAGACGCTTAAACAATGGATCTAAATCTATTCTTTTCCGTGTCGCTTCAATGGATCAAAAACGATTCCTCCCCACGGCGCTTAACTTAACGTCTAAACATTCATATCCAGCGAGCAATAACGGCACAAGTGGAAACTGATCATGATGGCCTAAACGGTTTTACTACATAACCTCCTGAGGGATGTTTTTCGGCAGTGAATAATTTGGGACCGGTATTCGGAAGAGTGCCGAAATGTTTGTGGTACTGACAGTATAATGCATTGTGAAGAATGGCTTACAGTGCCAACCAGCAAAACTGACTTGCAAAGGGTAATTACCTTGGACCGAGGGTGTAGGGAACGGATAGCTGGTGAAACAAAATCAGCAGTGCTAGAGCTAATAAAGGAAATTTCACACCAGGTGACATTACATATTTATATATACATGGGTCTGTGGTGAGAGGTAAGATGAATGTGTGTGGCTTTGTTGCAAAGGTGACCAGACTGCTTGAAAACAGAGACCCTCACGTACAACATCACTACATCCAGTATCAGAATGGAGGTGGCCAATAGCAGCTTTTCGATGGCTTAAGAACAACACAGCCTGACATTTTATGATTATAGAACATGCTTCAGAAAATTGTGTTGGAACTGACTCGTCCGCGAGAAATTTATTCTTTCTACGGACCCAGAAAATGGAACATCGAACAGCAGAATTCATTGCTTACCTTGCAGGAAGGCAAGAAGCGACAAGATCGTCGCTAGCACCTTCATACTGACGAAATGTCAAACATGGGGAAAGTTGAATGTGTACAAAAATAATCCAGGGATAGAGAGGCCGTGCTCGAATGGAAGACTTGGCCCAGCACAGATAATAAAAACAACTGTTGTGCTAGAAGCAGGGCTGCCAATAGGATTTTTTTTTTAACCCAGCTAAGCTGAACAAAAACCCAAGCAATACATAGGCGAAGAACCAAAAAAAAAATAAAAACCTAGACTGTTAAAAAAAAACAAATTTTATAATTACAAAATGAAACATTTACCCACTTTTATATAAGGATATATATTTTTTTTAAAACCCAGATTGCAAAATTTGAACCCAAGGCGTCAAATGAAAACCCACATCTGGGGGTAAAACCCATCATTGGCAGCCCTGGCTAGAAAACTAAGCTGAACCAGAAGTGATGTTTGGGCGCCGTGCTGTGCTGGAAGCAGTGTTGCCACTTTTCTTTGACAAAAAAACATCCAGAACGGAGTCAAAAAAGATCTTAAAACATCTGAATTTGCGTGGAAAACATTTAGAAAAAACTTCCAAATGGAAAGAGTCGCAAATTACATAGCTCATCATCATCATGTAGCAGGTCCTTTGCAGAACGTACCTCTCATCACAGTCTGCCTGAAAGAAACTCGGTTTCTCGCCATTTCTTCCGCCTCATGTACTTTCATACTCAAGGAGTCACTTATAGTCTGTGCCCATCTTCGTGTCGGTCGGCACCTGCCCCTCCTTCATGGTACCATGCCTTCTGCTATATTTTTTTAGAATCCGTCGTGGCGCTTGATATGACCCACATATTTCAGCTTTCGAGAAAGGATGCTGTTTATTAATTACATAGCTACTGTTATAAATTACCCTATAGAATCATGTCCTCATCTTCACTTATGTCTGCCTCAAAAGATAAACTTAGCTGGGATGATGAAGTTGAAGCTTCAGATCCAAAATGACTCTCGTCTGCTTTAGCTGTTCCAATTTTTTTTTATACACAGTCAGGGAGCTGATTAGAACAGCGTTTTCCTAATCTCGTCAGGCCGAATTTTATTGTCAAGATAGCATTTAAGAGGTCAAATTTCATCCTGTTTCTTAGGTTAGATTTGATATAATTCATAGCACTGAAAAAATCCTTCTACGTCAGCATTTGAGTGGGTTAGTATCATGGCAAACATGGCACATTCAAAGAGCTTACAGAATATACTGTTTGATATGGCATCTTTAAATTGACTCACTTCACCACAAAACGATTCAGTTCCTGTTTTATTTGTCCATTCAAGTAAGTATATTTTGGTTAACTGATTTTCTGCTATATATATATATATATATATATATATATATATATATATATATATATATATATATATATATATATATAAATTATAGCAGAAGGCATGGTACCAGGAAGGAGGGGCAGGGACCGACCAACACGAAGATGGGCACAGGATATAGGTGACTCCTTGAGTGTGAAAGTACATGAGGCGGGAGAACTGGCGAGAGACAGAGTTTCTTTCAGGCAGACTGTGGTGAGAGCGACGTTCTGCAAAGGACCTGCTACATGATGATGATGATATTTTGCTTCGGCGACACTATTATCAGTAGCCCCTAAAAATGTCATAACTTTACAATATTTAGGTATGTCCTCTACTGGCTGAAGTATGTTGCTCACAGATAAGAGTGAAATATTTTTCAATACATCTAGATTTTCAAGAAGTCTCTGCTTCAGTTGCTTGAATAATGAGATAAGGAAATCTTGACAGCGTTTTCTTAAGTTGTTCTCTTTATTCTCTGTTAACAGTCCTTTTGTTTTTAAATCATCAATTTTTGATTTGATATCCAATGTATGGCTTAGGAGCCAAATAGCTCACTATAGTGCAAGTTATCAAATCAGCTTTAGAAGTTGGCAACACCAATCTTTTACCAGCTGAGTGAAATAGCAAAGTGAGATCGTTAAGTAATTTCACTTTATCATCATGTTTAGATTTGAACAGTTTATTAACCTTTTGCACTTCAATTAGAATAGGTTGTAAAAAAAGAGAAGGAATGCCAAATTTGTTTCATCACATTAAATTCAATATGTCGACTCTGTAGCTAAGTCAATGCGAACGCTTCGTAATGCCGGGGTGCCGGGTTCGATCCCAGTTGCGGGCCATGCGCCTTGCGTTGGTTTCGACAGTGTTATCAGAGGACCGACCGTCCAGTAACAATGGCAAACTACTGTACGTAAACTTGCCTAGAGAAACCACACAACAGCCAGGGGCTGCAGAGGTAGGTTCTGCAACGTCCTGTAAAGGATACGCAACTAACCTAACATTTAATATAGTATTTCAGCTGTGTAGCACTTTTCACTTTGTCTTATTATTTCAAAGCGTGTCTTCAACTCCAACCATTGGTTCATAATACTTCCAACAGATGGTTAAATTGATAACTATCTTGTTTTGCAATCTGACAGAGGAACCATAATTAAAGGCTGTAAATAATGTATTGTATTGCTTTTGTCTAACAAATGATTTGGAAAATCAGTTATGTGTTTCAGCAATAAAGTATTCCGAATTCTTTGGTAAACATTCAGATTAAGCCTCTGATAATGCTAGCTGCAATAAATGACACATACATTTTATAAGTATTAACGATGGGATAGCTTCCTTCAATTTGGCATAAACGCCATTGTTTATACCAACCATCACCGAGGCATTATCGGTACCAGTTGCAGCCAAATTCGTCAAATCTAACTGTTTGCTGATTAAATGTTTCTTCAGTTCCTGACCTATACTTTCTGCATCGCACTTGTCCAGTTAAACTAGTCCAAGATATGTAGAAACTACTTTGTCTGTATTGTTGCTGTAATATATAATAAACACACTGTCACATATCGCTCCTGTCACGTGCCTGATTTAAGGATTTCTCCTTAAGAACCAACAGCACTCTGAAATAATTATGTTGAGTCGTTGGCTCGTATTGGTCTAAGGGATATCCCGTGGCCAATATACGCTCAACTTATTTCAGGAGTAGGGCAACTCAAGCTTTGGCACTACAAAATATATAATATTCCTAGGCACACTTGGCTGGACACCCCCACTACTATAAAAAGGTAGCCCCCATGTTATGATAGTATACTATCATAACCATGTTAACACAGATGAAGATTATTAGTTGACCATACATGTATTTTAGACAGCTACGAACAAAGAATGAGTGACACTCCAGTCAATAGTGAAACTTTAGAAATACTGTAATAAGTGTAACACATACATTATATAAGAATCAGCAAAGAACTTCGAGAACCCAGAGTGATATGAAGGACCAAAACTTCAAACTCTATCTGACTGAACGTGTATGAATGTTCCAGAGTCTGCCTAGATCATCCTTATGATGAGTGTGGACATTTAATAGTGAAGCCTGGCAATAAACCCATGACTGTCCACACTTATCTGAATCCCTGGTTTCTTGAACTGGCTGGATGTTCAGTCACTCTGTTGTTACGTTCAAGACAGTCCCACACTAAACACTCGAACACTGGAGATACACCCAAGCTCCTGGAGAGGATCTCAGGTACCAAGTCAAACACTTGAGGCACAAACAAAATGCCGGATAAATGATGATGGAGGTACAACATCCATAATGTTGTCTGTAGACCAACTGGAGGATTTCATTACTTGATGACCACAGTTAGGTTTACATTCTGATGCCCACCACTGGCTTAGACATAGGTGACTTCCTTGTATGTGGTTTTGTGGACTGCTGATTCACTGCCTGGCCTCCAAGGAGATATCATCCTGTATCAAGAAGGAACTCAGAATTAGCAGTCATCTCAGGGGTTACATGTCAAGCTCAGTTTATTAACATCCACATTAGTAATCATTCAGAGGACAGCTCTGAGGATACTGAGACAGTATAAGTCTCTACATATCATCTGTATTGTTCAGTCAGTAATAGTGACAGGAGATGAGTGCAAGAGTGGAGACAGATAGACTATCAAACAGAGAACATCAACTCCCCTCGCCCACACGCACTTGTAGATATACATCCCATCTCTCTCTCTCATATATATATATATATATATATATATATATATATATATATATATATATATATATATTATACCATCCCCCGTCTGTTCACCGTACACCCTTTGTTGTGCTAAAATTAACCTTTGACTCAGAACGCCGAGATTGCTTTTGTCACAGTATCAAGCCGGCCAAAGATGACCCCGTTTACATGTGTCTATTAGTCGATACAAATCCTACGTTTGGTTATAGAATAATTACTTGTAGGGTTTAATATCTTTACAAGTGGTGTGGGTTATGTAGAGCACAAACTATTTAGTCTGCACAGGGAAAGGTTTAATGTTCGGAGCCTGATCTCTGGACACAAAGAACGGCCCAACTCTGAGCGATCAAACAGCTGAAACTTCCCTCTATTCAGCAGTGGTCAACTTTAAAAATACATATTTTATGGTACTCGTAAACTATAATCAACTTACCCAAGGCCGCCTCCTCAAAGCATAGATGTACGAGGCACATTTGAGAACATCTGTTCTTCTAGGCAGTCAGACAGAAAATGCCCGATTCAAACTACGTTTAGCGTCACTAGGAAAGAAGTCCCCTGTATTCATGCCTAAGAAGTAAACCGGCTTACAGGAATTTCTGAATTAAATACTATAAATCTTCAACCTACAGTTGCAAGTTTGAAAATGAAGATTTATCAAAGCAACTAGAGGGTCTAGAAATATATATATTACCAGATAAAGGTATATATCAATATAAGGGACTATATACCCTTCTGGACGGGTTTAAGTTTGAAATGTGACTGTCCGCGTAGGGCGTTCAGATTCACGACTCGTCCATCGTGTAGGGTTAGCTGCTCACCTCACGACACACACCAAGCACTTTCAGTACCGAAATATAATTGTGTTCGTCCTAAAAATAAAGTAAATTTATTTGTAGAAATATCCCTGATCAAACCTTTTTCGAAGTGACAAAATAAAGTATTTCTTATAATATGTGTA